TTTGATCAGGTAAATGGCCCTTCTCTGTAAATATTTGCTGAGTACTATGATACTGGAGGGCATGTCACCAGATGGATATGACCTATTCACTCTAAAATCCCCAGTCTGCGTACTCAGGAAGTTAGGTTTATTTCCTGGAAGACGGCCTTTGCAGACTGCTAGAAATAGTGCAAATTGAGTCCACTTTAACTGCCCTGACTCCATGCTGGGGAATCATGGGAACTGTATTTTATTGTGGCACCAGAGCTCTCTGAAAGAGAAGGCTCAATGTCTCTGGAAAATATACAGTTCCCATGATTCCCTAGCACTGAGACAGGGCAGTTAAAGTGGATGCAATTTGCACTATTTCTAGCAGTCTGCAAAGGCGTCCTGTTGCCTAACTGGAATATTATTAGGTGAAGTTATGTAAGAGGGACATAATTCCTTTCCTCTAAAGTCTGGACAAGGACAGGTGGAAAACTATTATAGTCATTAAGACCCTTACGAACAAACTTTGACTTCTTCTGTCTATGGTATAGCTTCCAATTTCTTGATGACATTGGCAGACTGCTAGAAATAGTGCAAATTGAGTCCACTTTAAGGATTAGGGTTAGTGCTAAGGAATCGTGGGAACTGTAGTTTATTGTGGCACCAGAGCTCTCTGACAGAGAAGGCTGAATGTCTCAGGGGGAAAAAAAAACAATTCCCATGATTCCCTAGCACTAACACTAACCCTTAAAGTGGACTCAATTTGCACTATTTCTGGCAGTCTGCAAAGACCCATTGTTTCCCTAGAATAGGGAATAGGGGCTTCCTATAGCTGAATATTGGCCACAGAGTCAATGAACTTAATGTTGAACTAGCCAAGTGTTTGGTTTATTTATTCCAACATGGTCCTTCTCTCATTTCACATTGGTTCTTCTGTTATTTCATTTCAGGATTGTGAAGCCAAACCAAAAAATGTGCCATGGGGTGAAGCAGATCTAAAAGAACATTTGCATAGTGGAGAAATTTATGTCATGTGGGCTGCATCCACACTGCAGAAATAATCCAGTTTGACACCACTTTCATTACCATGGCTCAGTGCTATGGAATTCTGGGAATTTGAGACATTTGGCATTCTCTGTCAGAGGACTCTGGTGCCACAACAAGCTACCATTCCCAGAATTTCATAGCATTGAGTTATGGCAGTTAAAGTATTATCAAACTGGATTATTTCTGCAGTGCGGATGCAGGTATGGGAGTTTTATTAGACTATTGGAGAAAGAGCTTTGAAAAGTTATTATTTTAGGACTGCAACTCCAAGAATGAACCCTTCCAAGCCAGAAATCTGTGATTAGTAAGTAGGTTTGCCAAGTGTCCCTTATTATAAGGGACGTCCCTTATTTGAAAATCAGTTTGTTTCTTATAGGGCTGACAGTGGCCCTTATTGTAAGCGATCTGCTTTATGTCCCTATATTGAGTCCCTATATTGGGAGAAAGGTGGAATATAAGGAAATAAAATAATAATAATAATAATAATAATAATAATAATAATAATAATAATATATTTGAGGTTAGGAAAGCTTGTCCTTTATAGGATTGACTTGTTTCCCTTATTATAAAGGATGTCTCCTATTTCAGAGTTAGAAGGCTTTTCCTTTTACATAGACTGAATAAGATGTCGCCCCAAAATATAATCCTTTATTTTAACTTTCCATAGAGACAGAAATGTGTTCATCATATAATGTATGAATGCTGATGCTATGTTAATTTTACAGAGCAATGCAGGGCTAAGTGAATTGCAAAATCAAGACTTTAATTTGGTATTTAGCTAGAACACAATGTCATCAATAGCCGCTTCCTGATGGTCAACCCTATACTTTATGGATTTTAATGTTGTTGTTGTTTTGTGTCTTCAAGTAGTTTCCAATTTACAGCAATCCTAACACAGGCTTTTCTGGGTAAGAGGTTTGTTCATAGGTTTTTATCAATGCCTCCCTCTGAGGCTGAGAGAGTGTGACTTGCATGTCATGGATTTTATTGTTGTCATTTCTGATTTATAGCAACCCTGTTGCAGGGTTTCCTGGGCAAGAGGTTTGTTCAGAGAGGATTTTGCCAATGCCTCCCTCTGAAGCTGAGAGAGTGTGACTTGCACATCATGGATTTTGTTGTTGTCATCATTTCCAAATTATGCTATCACAGGGCAAAACGTGTTCAGAGAGGTTTTTACCAATGCCTCCCTCTGAAGCTGAGAGAGTGTGACTCTCAAGTAATGGATATTGTTGTCATGTCTGATTTATAGCAACCCTATTGCAGGTTTTTCTTGGCAAGAGATTTGTTCAGATCAGAGATGCCTCTGAGGCTAAGAGAGCGTCTCTCAAGTAACAGATATTGTCATTTCCGATTTATAGCAACCTTATCACATGGTTTTCTTGGCAAGAGATTTGTTCAGACAGGTTTTGCCAATGCATCTCTCTCTGAGGCTGAGAGGGTGTGACTTGAATGTCATGGGTTTTGTTCTTCTTGTCTTTCCTGGATTTATATATAGTATCTCACAGGGTTTTCTCAGCAAGATTTATTCAGATGCCTCTCCTTTGAGGCTGAGAAAGCATGACTTGCCTAATTTCACCTAGTGGGTTTCCCTGACTGAACAGGGATTCGAACCCTGGTCTCCCAGAATCATAGTCCAATCCTCAAACCTCTACACTACACTGGCTCTGTATCATAGAAGTCCCTTAAACAGCTCTTTGGGTGAAAAACAACAATATTATCTATCAGTCACCAGAGGGCGCTATTTGCCCGAAGTCCTCCCCGTTCCCTCAGCGCTCACTTTAAGGCCGGGCGCCCCCTGTGGTGGAAACCCCTTACAACACCCTGTAACCACGGCCTATTGCATAAGTGCGGCGAAGAGGTTCTTTTCAACACGGCTCGCCTTTAATGTTATCCCTCCCCTCCTTTCCCCGCCTCCTTTTGGACCCCTCCGTCCAATCAGATTGGTCCTGTCCTCCTTATTGACTGGCGTAGCTTCACTGACGGGCCACGCAGTCTCTTAAGCACGACTGAGGAAGCCTCCTGCTCCACTCAGAAGCCAGCAGGTCCCATGGTGTAATGGTCAGCACTCTGGACTTTGAATCCAGCGATCCGAGTTCAAATCTCGGTGGGACCTCGCGGACATTTTTGCCTAATAAACTTGGGCGCCTCCAGGGAGGACCCTAAGGGCCACCGTGACCCCCCCCCCCAAAAAAAAGGCGGGAAGAAAAGGGAAAAGGGGGTGAATTTTGTGCTTGTGTGTGGTTTGGCACTACTGCGCATGCGCCCCGCTTGCGAAGGAGGGTGAGGCAAGCGAGCGAGGGAGAAGGAGGACAATCCGAGCCGCCAAAATGGAAGATTTCCCGGGCGTTGATTGGGTGGCGTGGTTGGAACGTTGCCCTTTGCGGTACTGTGATTGGTCAAGACGCGAGGGGGCTAAAGGGGCTCTTTCTGCGGCCGCAGTTTGCAAAGCAGTGAGCAGAGGGAAAGGTGTCTTAAGTGCTGTTGCCACCTTTTTTCCCCCATATTGTTCATTTTTTTTATGCTGTTCCACAAAATGTTTGCACATAACTCTGGGTTCAGGGTGACCAGGTGCCCTAACCGCAAAGGAGGGCAAAGTTCCACAAAAAATGTAGGACGTTCAATAAAAATGTAAGACAATGCCACATAAAAGCTGAAAACACTCATAGAAATTCATTTCATACGGTTTTTGTTATTGTTGTGTGCCTTCCAAGTCTTGTGGCGACCCTTAGATGGGGAGTTCTGGGCAAATTTCTTCGGAGGAATTTTTGCCATGGCCATCCTCTGAGGCTGAGAGAGTGTGACTTGCCTAAGGTCACCCAGTGGGGTTCAGTGGCTGAGCATAGATTCGAACCCTGGTCTCCCAGTGTCTTAGGTCAATGCTCAAACCATTATATATTACACTGTATTTTATTGTTGTGTGCGTTCAATTAGTTTCCGACTTAGGATGATCCCAAGGCAAAAATATAACAAGGTTTTCTTGTTAGGTTTCTTCAGAGGAGGTTTGCCATTGCCATCCTCTGAGGCTGAGAGAGTGTGACTTGCCCAAGGTCACCCAGTGGGTTACATGGATTCGAACCCTGGTCTTCCAGTGTCCTAGTTCAATGCTTAAACCACTACATATTACATATACTTTATTTAATTATGTACTCAACTGTATTTTTATGATGAGCTTATTTTTGTTAAAATGCCTTCTTGGTTTACAATATACTTACAGAGTTCTGAGCAAGACAAGTGCTTAAAATTGTACTTTACTAGCGTCAAATCCTTGACTGAATCTTTGTTGCTGTTGTGTGCCTTCAAGTTGTTCTCGACTTATGGTGATCCTAAGGCCAACCTATCTCTGGGTTTTCTTGGCAGGTTTCTTCAGAGAAGGTTCATCATGGCCATCCTCTGAGACTGAGAGAGTGTGACTTTCCCAAGGTTGCCTAGTTGATTTCCATGGCCAACAGGGGATTCAAACCCTGATCTCCCGGTGTCTTTTTGGACTTTTAAAGACGGGTTAATCTCAAATTAGGGCCTTTACAGACTGCCAGAAATAATCCAGTTTGAGTCCACTTTAACTGTCCTGGCTCATTGCTAAGGAATCATGGGAACTGTAGTTTATTGTGGCACCAGAGCTCTCTGGGAGAGAAGGCTCAATGTCCCCCCCAAAAAAATACAATTCCCATGATTCCCTAGCACTGAACCAGGACAGTTAAAGTGGCCTCAATTTGCACTATTTCTGGCAGTCTTCACCAGAAAGGCACAAATGAACATTTGCAGTCGCATATAATTTCTTTAAGAAATGTGGGTGCCCTTCAACATACACAGCTGAGCTGAAGAGGAAGATTTGCAGCACAAGATACACCATTTTCAATGCTGGGATTTAATTCTAGAGTGTGGCTGCATCTACATGGCAGAATTCATGCAGTTTGGCACCACTTTTGCTGCTGTGGCTCAATGCTATGGAATTCTGGGATTTGTAATTTGTAAGATATTTAGCTGTCTCTGTCAGAGAGTTCTGGTGCCACAACAAACTACAGATCCCAGGATACGATTAAGATGGAACCGTAGCAATTATTTTGCAGGATGGCAGGAAAATGTAGTGAGGATATTCTGCTAGTCTTACTGAAATGCTGGATAATTTGCAGCATTGTTGTCACTCCAGTGCATTCTTCATCATGTAGTGTCTTTCCTCCTGTCCATGAATCCAGATCTTTTTGTATTTGCAAGAAGAAGAAGGTTTGGACGTACATTGTAGCATTACTTACAACCTTAATGCTGTCATGAATTGTGGGGGAGACTGCATTTCTTTTCAGAGACAGCTGTGTAGGTGCTGACAGAGCACATTTCATCTGCAAATGCAGCCCCTTACTTTCCTCCGAGTTGTTAATATATGGAAGGGTAAGGGGAAAGGGGTAAACTTGGGGCACATCAGTGAAATAGAAGATTTTTTTCCCCATGCTGGGTTTTAGCAGGATTCTGGGAATTGTAGTCCACAACAATTTCAAGCTCTGGATTCCCAGCCATTGAGAATCAAACTCCGCATCCTGTATCTCCTTGCCATTCATATCTCCAAGCACCAGAAACAATACTCAAGTAGAGTGGCAGATGAACAGTCTTAGGACCTTATCCCACGCTGCTCTCAAAAGTGGCAAGAA